AAATCAGCTATTTTAATTAAGGCCACCTGGTTGCTATAGTAAACAAATGCAACCATGGTAACCATAATACCTATGCTTAAAAGGTAGCGTCAGCTGTACTCATTGTAACCAAGGTGTCATGGTAACGAAGGGAAATGTAACTCAGCTGTTCTGGAGTTGCGTCATGCGGACAGACGGACGGACAGACACCACGAACTAATAGGCGCGTTTTAGCAACTCTTAGTTGGGAATCCGCCTAAGAATAACATTTTTACCTGTAAGAAAACACATCGTTACAGCTATAAACTGTTATCTTAATCTTCACGAACAAGTATGATCTTTGTTTTGAGACTAAGTGAAACCGTTAACCAAATATTCCTTTCTGAACGGCGTGCTACGCATATGGAACTATATAAAGCAATGGCGGTTTTAGTCCGGTTGTATGGGTGTGGGAAGTGAGTGGCTGATAACTTAAGTTAAAGTTTAAACTAATAGGCTACTAGAGTAAACACAAACCTTGGACCACAGTGAATGCACAGTGCCTTTGGATTCAATTTATATTTAATCTCTGACATGTCACGGATCATTGCTCACGCCTTGTGGTGGTGATGGTGCCCTGGGAAACAAGATCCTGTAGTATTTACGTCACAATTTCTCATACGCTACAGTCGCTGATACCGCAACATTCCATTGGACAAGATGCGAGATCAAAAACCACAGAAACGGCGAAGAATTAACTAATGCCCACGTACAGTTTAAAGAACTACGGTTGCTTCATTTTACTTCTAGCTTATTTGAAACATTTTCCGAGAACGTGAGGCTATTAGGCCTTTGCGCTCCTGTACGTACAGACTCGATCGTGCACAATGCATAGTTACGATACGTTGTTCCTTCGGACAACATAAAATAATACGATGCGCAAAAACTATAACACTTTTCAAGCACTCGCACTGATAAGCTCGGTGTACGCCCCAAAATGAACAGATAATGGCTATGACGCAAGTATTAACAATTTTGTGACCATATCTTTAAGGCAAGTGGAAATTAAAACTATTTCTATCGCAGCTAAATTTGGAACAATGCCCCAAATTCAGTTTCAGGTTAGTTATACAATAACTAGCGTTAGGTCTAAGTGGTCGTCGTATCATAAAGAAGTTCCTTAAAATCAGCACCTTATGACTGTTGTTAAGTGAACCTGAAGGTTAAGTCGGTGACTTAAGGAATGCTCGAGTTTATACTTAACAATACAATTGAACACACGAACTTGTGGTTAATAGTAATATTCACTTAAATCATCATTAAATTATCCTGTGAAGGTATGCAGAAGTGTGATAAGTCTATATAAGTCTGGTCGAAACATCGAAGATTTGACTAATATAAGGGACAGTTAGGCAACTTTAATTTATCTCCACTTTTACGTGGGTGGGACGGTTTCTTTCTACTTTTCTTGAATGTTCACTGGTTTGAGTCTCCAGGGTTCAAAGAAATTACCTCACCCACATGTAAAATCGCGTAGTTTTATGAAAGGGTTTTTTTTCTCCCCCCCCCCCCCCCAAGTTTTTACGTCGTAACCGTAGTCAAGTCGAGACTAGGGTTTATACAAAAACCGACTTTTGAAAAGAAACCAGTTTTCGAATTCCAGTATTTCCAAAAAACCGGTTTCCGAATTAAAACAGTAAAAAATATTTATACTTATTTTAAAAAATTTCAGTTTATTTAATATTTATGGAACTACAAATATATAACAAAATAAAATATACTCCATACAAAACCAAATAAAAACTAAAATAACTAAAATCCGTACAAAATATAAATTATAAATTTTTATTTCATTTAGTATTTTTCTTCAGGAAATATGATTTCAAAAAACATAAAATGTCCGCTGAACGATTACCTAATCTTGTTCTTATTCGAGATACAAAATTGCCTGAAATAGAAAATACTCTCTCACTGGCTACTGAACTTGGTTTTATCGTTTTCAGGGCATCAAATAATAAATCTAAATTCTTTGTTCTTTTATTGGTTGCCTCAAATACTGAAAATTCGGCCTTTAGTGTCTTCGGATTTGATATTATTTCTTCAGATTCCTCAAGAAACCTATGAATTGATTTTTCCATGGCTTCTTTTAGAGCATTGCCCTGATTAATGGTTTCTCCGTCTCCGATATATTCATCATCGGAATCTGTTTCCATACAAGAATATGGATATATTCTAGACAATATTTTTCCAGATAACTTAATAATATCGTGGAAATACACTAGATTTCTATGTTGAAATGTTTTGTGGATTTTGCAAATATAGCAAAACAGTTACCAATCCAACTTGTCTTCTTTCTTGAATTCGCACTTCTAAAGCATTTAATAATTTGGAACTAATTTCAGTCTTTAAATATTTTAGTTCATATAACAGAAATTATTACATATTAACTCTAGTATCTAAGACAGGTTTTTTTAATTTTAAAAACCGGTTTTTGAATTTTACAAATTTATCCAAAAAACCTGTTTTTAAAAACCGACAAACCCTAGTCGAGACCAACTTCGCTTCAAACACAGGAAAGATAAGGATATCGTTTTGTTATTGACGACATCAAGACTGGTGGCAATTACGCCATGAAGTCCATTGAGAATGCGGGAAATTCCGTATTCCAGAGGCTACTAAGTGGGTGCTAATTCTGTTATTAAAACTGCGTATATCGTCGATGTACATGTGTCCATATGAACAGTACTGACGTTGTAACTTCTACATATAAAATAAATTTAAACGTAATATCTGTGAATAGATGCCACGGTGGTCTAGCGGTTAGAACGCTGGCCTTGTAATCCTGGGGTCTCGGTTTCGATTCCCGGTGGTGCCCGAATTTATAACTTGTGTTGGGCAAGGCCGTGGTCTAGGCAACACGGAGTTTTCCTCTGTGGCATCCCAACAATTACTCCATTTACACACAGAAGAAGGCAATGGCAAACCCCTTCTGGATCATCTGCCAAGAACGTATATGAACAGGTCCCAGTCCGAGAAAAGGATGGAAGGATCCTGTTCATATGGACCTGTCGTCAGACAGAACACTAAAATAAAAAAAATAATAATAATCTGTGAATGTGAAACAAGTTAGACCTGCAAGAAAATAAGGAAAGTGGAACTTCAGATAAAATATTTAAATCTAATTTCTTAAATTGATGCTCGTTGCAAATTAAACACACCATTACTCCGTATTCAACCTCAGCCCTTCGACTTTTTCTTTTGGAGTGAAGAATTTATGTCTAAACCTCATGTCACGAACACTGTACCTTCCGTCGGTTTGTTTCATTTGTTCCTAATGGACATATAATATATTGATTATAGTCGTATATATTCCTCGTTTAATATTAACAACTTTCATGCTACACACGATTTATCTATCTCCCTTGGAAACAATGGAACTTCTAGCTTATGACAAAATTCTCGACAATTACTTGAAGTTTCAGATATCCAAAGATAAGAATTATACGTTACCAAATCATTTTAATAAATTAATTATTTCTGTACCAAAATCTCAGCAGGGAAGAAGATTAAATGAGATTTTTAACACACTGTTTCAAATCCGTACAATTGAAAGACTAATAAAATGTAAAGTTACCTATCTGCCTATGTACCATGACATGAAGACGAAAGGGTGAAATTTATGAAATTCGGATCCCACGACTACGTGGATGTGAATTGTGAGCATGTTGCTGTCGTTTTAACCTCAGAAATAAATTGCCCGGTGTACTGACTGATTAGGATGCTGCGTGAATCCTGGGGGTTGTCCCCACGTGGTGCTGAAGAGAAGAATTATGTCCCTGCCCTAATTGAACCTCGTCCGAAGGAAAGACTAATAATAGAACTATAAGAAAATAGTGATAAAGCATTATGTGACACAAGCCTGACAAGCAAATTGTTTTAATCGGGAATTGGAGTAATCTAAGACGAGATAAGAAAGCGAACACATCTAAGAGTCTACATTCGTTTCTCATGCAGGCTGCAGTTCTACAATTAATGTAGAGGGTTTAAGGATATGTAATTGGTTTCCCTCGAAATATTTAACAATTTACGATGTACCGTGGCAACAAACCGCCGACGCACGCAATAAATTAGCGGGCCCTGGAACGGAGGCCCTTCAGCCACTGTTCACGAGATTCAAAGGGAAAAGCGATGCTGCAGACATTTTAAAACCAATAGACCTATAAATATGGACACTGAATTTTCGTTGGTGACTGTAGCGTCCTTAACAATTTCTCTACAATTAAACCCCCACGTCAAACCGTTCAAAAGATGAAGAGTGAGGATTCGTAGGAACCAAGGCTAATTTTCCGTTGCTGCATAGTTTCACGACTATAATAGCACAGACGCAGGTTTCAAATGTTTGCAGACGTAGTTTGAAATTCTCCGCCTTGCTGCACTTTAAGGCGACAGCTGTGACTGATTCGTCACTGAGCGGTCATTATGGTCATTCCTAGACGTCTAGGTTTTTGAAATTGCGTGTGGTAACAGCTTCAAAATTCAACCCTTGCCAAAGTATTTTTTGACTTTCGGGTTGATGGCAATATTTGACGAAATAAGACATATAACATTTTGCTTGGAGACATATAATTAAAAACACGTACGAGATTCGTACAAAAGGTTTTATGTCGATATGCCAACAGTTAGAAAGGTGAAAACTTTGCGAATCTTCAGCTGGATTCTGGCAAACGTAACGTAGATTGAAGGTCTACTGGTAATTTTGCTTAGAGATAAAATGGTAAGAGTCAGATTTTTACAACGTATAAAGTTGTATTTCTCGTTAACACCGAGTGAAAAATGTGAGGTAATTTGGCGTACTTGCTACGAAATTGATTACAGGAAACAAATGAAAACTCTCTTATGCTTCTGTTGACTTAGCTCCTACCACTGTAGCTCCATTATTAGCCTTAGCATGTGTAATGAGACACAAAGAAATTAAGGGTCGTATTGCTCCACTCATGTTGTGGTTATCTGGGAATCTTCTGACCGCAGTTTCGCTGTTTCAGTTACGGCGCTGGGTACGATCTGGCGGCTCGGAGGAAGAACGCGACGCGCGAATCGACGGCGACGCTGAAAGCGTGGCTGAACGAACACAAGAAGAACCCTTACCCGACCAAGGGCGAGAAGATAATGCTGGCCATCATCACCAAGATGACGCTCACACAGGTGTCCACGTGGTTCGCCAACGCTCGGCGTCGGCTCAAGAAGGAGAACAAGATGACGTGGGAGCCGAAGAACAAAACGGACGACGACGATGACGCCATCGTGTCTGACAGCGATGAAAAGGACAAGGACGACCTCCTCATGGACGGCGACAAACTCAAGGATTCCAGAAACCGTGATGACAAAGGTCAGTGAGTCTCCTTTTACAAAGGGGTGGCCAAACTATGCGACTCATTGTCAGGGTCGTCAAGCGATACGGACGATAAAAACTACTGCCTGACTTTGCGTGCAACAAGTATGGAACTAAATTCAGAGTGAACCAACTGTGAAGGTTGCTTACAAGTTCGAACGCTGCTTATCACAACAGCCACCAGTCACTGTCGTAATGGCACTGAAATACTAATACCGCTCCACTGTGCTCATTATTTTACTGATTTCCTAACTGTTTGTTCTGCTGTAACAAAGAAACATCGCGGAAGCCTTACAATTCGGGTTTCACCCGGCTAACTACCGAACAATCAGTTTTTCATAATTACTTACCCAGAATCTGTTACGTTTCCTACACACGTCATCATCCTCACCACCGTGAAAATCTGAAATCAAAAAATCTCATGTAAGCCTGTTTAAAGTAGTATGAAGCTATGAAACAGCCATCGTGAAAGAAGTGTAGGCTTATATGCCTAAAGGATTGGAGAAGAGTTCAGAATTCAGAATGGAAGGAGCGTAATGCAGAGTACTGTCTGCGATTAAAATGTTCATATTTCTATATCAGAATATGGAACGAAATTACAGTACAAGGATGGCTAATAAACCGTGACAAAGTTCATGTACTGTGGAACAAAGGTATCAAACAAAATTATATTCGTAATTAAATTCGGTTGAGCAAATTACATTCAGGAAATCCTTGGTTACAATTTAATTAATAACAGACTATTTTATCTCCAGAAACATAACAAATAATATGTATAGGCCTACTGAAAAGTAATTTTAACCATAGGTTTTTATGGGCACGAAGGTTGGTCCCTTACCCTAAGAAAGCACACAGTTTGAAGGAATTTTAGAACAACGATTTGAAAAGAATGTAATGAGACCTGCATAATGTGTGGTTTTCAATAGATATTATTAGGGTTATTGAGCAAAGGAGATTGTGCTTATCGGGACACAAAGGTGACGAGAGTAGAAAATTCGAGTCACACAAAAACTTGAAAGAAAGAAGGATACAACTTTGTACGTCCATCTAGGAGTAGATGTGAAGATAAAATTAAAACGGGCTTTAAAGAAAGAGCCAACAATCTCACAATTACAGTGCACCTCAGCTTTTATAAACTTCTCAAGTATAATTCTGGCACATGGAGTTAGTTAATTAGTGAAGGGAATATGTTATTGAGTGGTAAACATAGGCCTCTCCCATATGAAATTTTGACACCCCTGTACACTTATATGATAACTTAATCGTGGAACATTTAAGGCCAGGGGAAGCCATGCGAAATTATTTTCATAAAAATGCTTCTGAGATATGACAAGACCTAGGTATTCGTTCTGTGAAAATAACACCATATCGTCCGCTGTTACAACGAGGACGCTCACAAGACAAGTAAACTAAAACATGTACTGTCAATATTATTTCGACACTATATGGTGCAGGATATTCTGTATGGAACCCGAAGGTTCAGCACCGTGTTCACAATCCCTCCCACCGAACTATATATATGTGTGTGTGTGTGTATATATATATGTGTGTATATATATATATATATATATATATGGGTTGCTACCCGACTAACATTGTGATTATCAGGGACTGAGCGCTCATGTTAACAGCGTTAGCCCGTCTAACACTTTGGAAAATGAGAAATAATAAGACTTCTCTTTTACTTTCGTCTTTCACTGCAATACAGCAGAACCGAACATATAAAATACATCGTTAGCCAGTTCATTGGATGTCTTTATGCGACTCCTAAGAGTCAAGTTTGGTCATCCCCGAATCATGAAAGTAAACATTGATTTGGAAACCTAGCAGTAGTCTAGGTAGCGCAAAATGCGAATAGATGTTGGATAATACTTATGTACATTATAGTCAGTAGTTTTCCAAAAATGATTAAAATACAACCTCCCCAGAGGATGGCTCTTCAGAGCTGAAACTTGTTCGGTAACAGTTAAATTTCTTATTACACTTTCTGTTGCATTTTATTGTAAAGTATGGCATCTGATGGCTTTAAAGAATTTATTTATGGACATAGAAATAGCCTTTCTCGCAGGAAAACTGTGCACAGGATATTGAATTTTAATGCAAAAATTACAAATTGAAAAATTTGAATCTGAAATATTCCCTTTTATTTATAGGATTCTATCTGAGGCTGTAGTTCTGCACCGACGTTGTCAGAGAGACATTCCTATTGGAAGTTGTGGTCTCAAGAACCATCAACAGTATTATAATACGGTGTGCAAAAACACCAAGAACCATCAACAGTATTATAATACGTTGTGCAAAAGCAGTCGAAATAGTGATGCGCATATTAAAATATTTGGCTGTCTCAGAGTTTATATTTTAACAGAAAACATAATTCTATCAACGTAATTTATATGTACCAGATTCAGGCTTCGGAAACATTTTAGTTAGATCTTTGTAAAGAATTTATAATAAACTCGTAATTGAGGTTAATATCTCTTAGTTTTTAAACATGTGATTCTAAGAGATTTGTTAAAAGAAACCATATAAATTACTGGATTTTCAGTACTAAAAGAAAGACAGTGTTGTGGAACGTGACTATTAAAAAGAGTAGACAATCAACATTTAGAGGAAGTTGTCTTTGTTTCTGAGCTCCAGAGGCGTTTACGTTTATTTACTAAAATATGTAACATATTTGTAGGGAATTTTATTTTTAAATCTTCACCGCCAACCGACGATTATTGATGAGGCACTTTCTGATTGGCGATGTCCAGAGGCTGATTTTCTGTGTAAAATAATTTATACAGGTACACACGTTAAGACATGACACAAAAGTCCTTTTCCATATATTAGGCCTATATTTCTAACATAATTTACAGGGTAACTAGATTATAAACATGCACACTCCGCACTTAGCGTTCTCGTTTATTCTAGAATAGTAAAGTACTTGTAGCCGATGGATGATTCAGGATAATAGCACATACTCTAGAGTTCCTTAATCGCTGGTCACTTTCTTGAAAAATTTATTAGTATCGCCCTGTTTCATGTTGAGACTAACAGCCAGACTACAATATTAATTACGTATTTCGTCGTAACTTGTTTTCGTTCGAATCTTATATTCTTAACATAAAAATTTGAAAATTTGGATTGAAAACTATATCCGTCGACGTTCTTTTCTAAGTTTCCTGAATCAAGTTTTCTCAATTGAATTAACTTACTCTGTGCCCAGTGTTTCTGTAAATTATTGAACAGATAGATCGGACTTAAATGCAAAATTACTCAAAGGTACCAAGACCACGAATGTCAGAAACATTCATTATCTCTTTCCAAACTTCTTTCGTTTAAAAATATATTATCTTTCGTTTGTATAAATTAACCGCGCCTACGAAGTACAACAAATAATCTGAATTAACAAAGAAAAATTAGCGAGAGTAACATATTAGTTTACACTAACGTCTTCAAGCGCGCCCAGATTTTAGGTCAGAAGTAGTGGCTCACCTGAAAGAAGGCCCAAGTTTAGTTCGCAACACGGAACTGGTTACAATGGTTTACAATAGAGCAGTGCGGACCGTCGTTGTGGTCGTAACACCGTTGTGGCTTTTAGGTAGAAGCCAACGTTTCGGAGGAACAAAGTGTCTCCGAAGGTGGAGTCCTCCGAGTCACGGGTATCGACGGCGCTATAACCCAGAACAGTGGTCCCCAACGCGGTGCCCGCGGGCGCCAACCGCAGTGCCAAACATCACACTAACTTCCCACTTGAGTAATAATAATTGTATTTATAAAAGTACGTACTTTTGATTGCGTGGTTTCTTGTATCATTAAACGTCGTGTTGTTTTGTGTATTATTTGGTGTCCATATCTTATTTGTCCAGAGAAAAGAAAATTTGGCTTTGTTGATTGGTTGGTGCCCGCCACGATCTCATAAACTCTCAAATGTGCCCTTGGGAACAAAAAGGTTGGGGACCACTGACCCAGAAGACTTTATTACTGCCTTGAGCAGGTCTTAAACTTTGTGTCATACTTCATTGAATCAGGACATTTCATGCTAGCCCCCTGTGATAAGAAAATAATTGTTGGGGTCGGTTTAATACTGTAAGTTTAATTTATTTTCATTTATAAAAGGATAAATTCGGCAAAATCTGTTTGAAAATGGAGACTAACAAGACGATTCGAGGCGGCGACTATTAGGCGTACCATCGATTTCATCTGATCGATATACCAATCGTTTGACGTAGCGGCGTGAGAAAGGATTCGTTCAGGAGCCTCGGAAACACTGACAGACGTTTTGCCTAGCCGAAGACAGACATCAGGTTCCCACATGCACGTACTCCATGGCATGTTTCGTTTTGTTACATTTTAATGCACAGTGTTAATACAAATGAAGCTAAAAGGTATTTTGAACAAACAACAAGGTAATCCTACAAGAGTTGTGTTAGTGTGTTTTGAAATCTGAATACAAAAATGTTTAATATCACAGGCTCCCAATGCATACTTAGTTGGTAAATCTGACGCAATGTCTTCAGACCATCAACTTAAGTTAGCATGGTTGGGACACAACTAAGATTTTAATAAAACTCCCAAGAAATGTGACGTGTGTAGGAGTGAGTTCCGGTGCTACAATGGGTCGTGGTTATGGCTCCTGTGTCCAAACCATCCGTTAGCACATTCCTAGCGCTGTGTCGTCTTTAAAAAACAAACAACTTGACAATTCATTTTATATACTCAGCTTCTACCAATATAGACTTTTGTAGGATTACTTTTTTCAAATACAAATTTAAAAAAAATAATTCATTTTGCAATAACTCTGTTTTGTTCTTTAGTTATATTGTTTATTTTGCATGAAATTTGACATTAGATTATTATTTGTTATGTTTTATCATGATACACTTATTATTTATAATTTCGTTTTCTCTGTCCATTTTGATTTTGTCCATACATGAGATGATGTATTTATGTAAGTACGAGTTTGGAAGAATGGTAAGAGGAAAGTAAGAATAAAAAAGCTGTTAAGATAAATGTGAGTTGTCCCAAGTTGAACTTGTCTGCAGCTAACCTCCCCCTTTATCCGACCCCCCTTGTATACACTATACACTGCACGCATCACAGTTTTCATTTTTTTTTGTCGTATTTCTTGGACAAGTGATTCTCTTTACGGACAGAGTAGAATGCTATGTTCGCAGCGTGAGTTCAAGTCAGCTCTCTCTTTTTCCCACTTACCTCACGACCAATCCATAGCAAGAGAAGGAAGACTAATGATGGGTATGGAAAGTGAGCTAGAAAAAAGGCCAAGTCACTGTTTTTAGCCCCCCTTTCGTCTCGAACCCTCCCGCTAACCAACTGTTTTATCCGTCTCTCTCCACTCCACTCAGCAACATTGGAAGCTAACATAAAACAACGCAATTTCTTTTCTTTTTCTTTTTTTTCGCGGACTGCATGGTGCATGCGCTCTGAGCCCTTTCTCCCCCCACCCCTCCGACATCCCGATTGGTGGTTTACTACTGTAAATCGATTAATGCATCCCTTTTTCCCTTTCATCTCCCACCTCCTCTCCTATCTCCACAATTTCGCTTTAGTTCCGTAAGAGAAAGTTTTTGGCGAACCGATGTTGGAACAAATTTTCCACACACCACAAACTGTGGCTTTTATAAATTAGGGAGTAAAACCTTCTAATAATAACAGCGTGGCTTTCACTTGTGGTTGGAGTCACGCCATTTTGATACGTCACACAAATGTTTAATCACTATGAAGATTGCCATTCCGAAAGAAGATCTAGTCCACTATTTCGACAGTTTTCCAGAATTAACTTATGTTTTAAAGGCACTTTCCCTCAGCATAGATCGTAGACCATGTTACTTTCATTCAAATACCGGTATAAAGTTGTAGGTGACTGTCACCTGGGTTGTTATTCCGCGTAGTCTGGTAGAATTTTACCGACGTGCTCCATCAATCATCAGGCCCTGATGATGGTAGCAGCAGACATACTCTCTTGGGTCTATTTCATCTAATGACGGAAGGACAGCCAGCTTCAAGATCTTTTGTTTAAAACAAATGAACGGGAATTTGGAAAAATGTCTAAAATTGTGTGTTCAATCATACACGTTGCAACAAAACTTGAGGCTAGTCATATACGTATTTTTCCTGTCAAGAAAATATTGAATGTAAAATCTAAAACCCGTGTGTTTATGATCCAAATCACAAGCCAGAAATTTATACTACGTACGTACGCTTCACCATTAGCTGCTTAAATTTTTGTATTTATTTCTCTCTCTCTCTGTTCCTCTCTCTCCAGCAACTTATGATGGCAGGAACGCATATTCCTATGCATGGAAAGTAGGAAGTGCATACAAAATTTTAACAGGAAAAACTGAAGGGAACAGAGAATAATATTAAGACGGCTAAGGTTATAAGGTACGCTGCCGAGAACTGGATTCATCTGGCTCAGGATATGGTGCAGTGGCGCGCTCTTGTGAGCATGACAACGAACTATCTGATTCTATAAAAATAGGGAATTTATTGACCAACAAGAAGGAGTCTTCTTTGAAATTCGTTACAGTTTTGAAATAAACAGAGCAAACAGGTTTCTTGAGCCACGTTGTGGAACGCATTTCCTCAGCACCTGCCACGGCTTACGGCGAGACCATCATGCGATGGACTTAAACCGTCAATTTTAAATGCAACAATTTAGATAATCTATAAGGATGGCATTAATATTCGCCTGCCCTAAATAAAGTAATAGATTTTATAGTCAAATTTCCGGTCAGTTAGGAAATAACTCCTTCAAGTGCTCGAATATAAATGTTTAATAATTACTTTGACCTTTATGCATCATTTAGTGTTATGAATTTCCTTTGTTAGTTTACTTAACGAAGTTGCATTGACTGAATAGGTTACACGCGCGGAATATTATAACGAACACGAACTCAGAAATTACTTAGGAACGCTATGAAATTCCTTCAACCAGGATAACCGGCTGTGAACTGAGAATCGAAGACCGGACATCCTGAATACAAAGCAGGTGACCTAGTATGAAGCTGAAGATTATGTAATAAATCGCATTAATTTAGGCATGGTTGTAGGAAAAATACGGGCAACAAATTTTATAAAGGATAGGCAATTCTTACGTACCGTAATGTTGTTGCAGAAAATGGAGATGAAACCAGAATTCAAGAAGCTAACACAGAAGGGCTAAAATAAGGAACGAATGCTTTGAAACGATTCTCCGGTACAAAGATCAAATGCCACTTCTTCTACGTAGGTTTTCGCGGCTGGAGGTCAATGTGAACTTTGGCTTTCGGGTGAGAGCCGCGTCGAATGCACAGTATTAACCAACGTTTCGTCAACATTCCACGCTGCTCACATCCGAAAGCCCAAATTAGACAATTAATAAACTTAAATATAATTTCTTAAATGCAACTTTTAGTCAGATGTTTATCAGATTTCAAATGATGTTTTCTTCCAGATTTTATTGTATTTTTTTAATATCGTATTCGAAGTTGTTCTGTATGTACGTCGTGCTTAACATGATTTTGTGTGGGTGAACGTTTTGTTGTTGTTTTTTGTGTCATCCTGTAAAGTAAATAAGAAAATAAGAAATTATATTTAAGTTTATATAATTTTATACACCTGAAGATGGTTCTTCTAGAACTGAAACATGTCGTGTAAAAAGTGATGTTCTAATGTAAATCGAACATTTCGATAGAGAACATCATTTTAAATATTTAAATGTTAATTTTAGTAATATTTTAATATTTAATAGAAATTTTATTGTGATTTGACTGACAAGATTTAAACAAATATATATTTATCACAATATGACGCAACTGTATCATCTCATAAATTTTAATGCCGAAAATGACTGTCTTCTGGGTTGTAGCACCGTATAGCCTGATAGATGTGCACCAACTTTTCAGAGGTCCTTGCTGCCTCCATCACCAGGGCGATGAGTCACTCATCGCCCTCATACTAATAATAATAAGTCTTCTGTTCCACTGAATTCAAGTATATCTTCTCAGTTTCATTGCAGACGGCTCACCATTGGGCTGCAATGCTTCTGTTGGTTGCAAAATATAGTTTTTATTGTGGCGTATAACCTGTACGCGAAGAAATTCAGTTTAAAGTACATACATATTATTGACGAAATTTATTTTTAAAGAAAAAGTAATTTTGTCAACAGCCTGCAATGCCACGTTTGTCATCTATGATTTGTGTCTGTATCAGGGTAAATAAATATCACAACCAAGGAGAGATTTAAATTCTGCAAGAATGCATTTGCTGAGCCCTGCGCATATGGGAAATAATACAATATGCATTTCTATTCCGGTTGTTTAATCCACATTTCTTAGAGAATATGAATTTAGAACAGTGCCAAGTCTTATTTAATTTGGCCTACGAAGTCAGCGTGTATTTCAATTACTTTTCGTTGCACGCCTCAAGGCATAATCGTACCAAGCTATGGCAATCGAAATTGGGACCTGTCAGATAAAACGCAGGATTGCTGTCCAGTACGTGAAGAGAGTGTTGTAAAGGTACGTAAACCAGAGGAATAAGCTTAACCCGTTCAAAGCCAGTGGACGTCGTAACGACTACATTAGTCTGTTTTTCCACTTTCTAGTTAAAGACCACTCATCCGTCTCATGCTACTTTCAAGTCTTCGTAGTGGTGTGATCTGTAAGTAAGATTCATTCAAGTGCCACTTGTGGACCAACCCTTAACCACACAAATCCTCACCCTCTCGCTGCTTCACCCGCGGGATTGCTATCACCATTCCAAACCCATTCCAAGCTCTTAATGAAATTATCTCTGGGGCGCTCTCGCGGTGCATAACATCCCCTCTCGCCGCAGAAAATCTCCGCTGCTCTGTCCCCTCGATATTCATCAACCCCTGAGGAAGAAGGCAATTTACTTCACTTCCGAGTGAAAAAAAAGACTGGCGGAATAACCTAACGTAACAACTGTTTATTCTACAAGCAGTTGTGTGAACAACTTGTATCGTTCCTCAAAAAAACTAGAGGTGTAAACGTTGGGTGAAAAGTCTGGACACTGTCCGAATGTCTAACAGACCTGTAGTACTGTTTTATGACTTGGCGGAAAACACGTTAAATTTTAACCGAAGTTTAAACTTCGCCACTGTATGGAAGACGGCGGTTATCTTAACACGCGCTTGCTCGGATGCGGAGATGTGGAGAGAAATATCTCCTGTTTCCGGTCCTGAATACTTGTAATCCAGCCTGCATCATTTACTGACCCACTGAGATATTCCGGCTACAAATAAATTAGGCCGTTTATATAATGTAAATAAAAAAATGCTACTATAAACTATACAGATTTTTTGCAGCCAAATAATCCGCAAAAGTCCATTGACAGTAATATTCACGCATTTAAAGCTTATTGAAATATTGGAAAGTAGGGTCAAATATTATTTCTAAAAGTAATTAAAATGTGGCTGTGGGGAAGATATTTAATTCAAGGGTTACGCTAAACCTGATAAAATATTGGGCTGCTCACGATCATTATTCTGTCTAACACACAGAAAACGTAATTCTCCACTTCACAATGTCCGTTTTCAGAAATCGTAATGTCGCTTAAATTTGTTTTGGGTCACTCTGTATTTGAATATTGGGCCTACAATGACTTTTTTATCATCCAAAAAATACTTTACGTCACCTACTTTGTAATTAGTAACAAACAGCTTCTAGCAGATGGCATTAAACATGAGTTAGATTCATAGAATAAGTGCTATTTGCCTGTAGGTTTTAAATTGTAGTTTAAAGATTACGTTGATAAAACACAGATGCTGTGGCCGTGGTGCTTCAAGAGACGGCGGCAAATTTTAAATACTTTCTACAAAGAAGAAACCGGAAGTTGTAAGCGAGATATCACGTTCGTAGCACAGAAGGGGTTAATTGTGTCTGTGGGCTGTGTCCACAGATTCGTTGCACCACGTGAAGGCAGAACACCACCTTGACAAGGATTGCATGGACGATGATGATGAGATGGATGACGACGACGACCGTAAGCCGGGTGACCTCCTGATGGTGGGAAACCACCACCACCATCTGCATCACCATCCCCACCACCACTCCATTCTCGGTGGTGGCGGCCTCAAGGATGAGATGGGTAAAAATGGACCGCCGTCCGACTGCGGCGTACCAATCCCTGCTACGAAACCCAAGATCTGGTCCCTGGCTGACACCGCGGCCTGCAAGACGCCTCCGCCGCCACCGAGCTCCCAACAGCAGCCTTGGCTCATGCCAAGCACAGGATGTGGAAGCATGGGCATGAATATGAGCATGAACAGCTTCGCCCTGCCCTCCGCTGCTATGAGTCCTTCTGCAGCAGCGGCAGCGCCATATTCGCGGTACGGGGGGCTCCTCTCGGGGCCCTACGGAGGCGGCGGTGGAAACGGAGTGGGCGCGTGTTCGGCCTCGGTCGGGGCGTCGGGGTTTCCGGAGGTTCAGACCGACACCCCGCCCCAGACACCACCCAACATGAAACTACCTAGTGTCGCCGGCAATCTTCTAGGAGGGCCTACGTCGTGTTTCGGCAGCGGCGCTGGTGCGGGACCGGGTGCCCAATCGTCCACATCTGCCACTACTACTGCCTCCACGACGGGGTACGGAGCAGCACCAGGGCACCACAACTTCCTCGGCAACTTCGGCCGTCTTCAGCAGTCGCCACAGAAAGAGAGGCCGAGCGGAAAAGATGCAGCCTACCAGCACCACGGACACATGATGGCGGCTGGCAACTCAAACCAGGGCCCGAACGAGGGCACCGCCTTTAAACCCTTCTACAAGAGGTGAGTAGTTCTGATCGCCTCCCAGTGCTGAAGAGCTACAAATACAAACGGCTCTCCGTTCGTTGCCTCGTTGGAAATTATAAGTGCGATCAAATGTTATGTCACATTTATATTTCTTAGACTTAACGAAATATAATAATATATTTATTGGCCTCGGACACAAGAATAGGTAGTTCTACCCCTTTGTAGGTCTACATGTATTTATACTTCCTATGTACTTGCTGTACCGGCGTGAATGTTATCTCCATTGGCGTAAGTTCTTACAATGTTCGTCTGGAATCACTGTACTGTACGCCGTTTTCAAACAAACTGCAGAACATCCAAATATACGTTAGCGACCCGTAGTTAAGATGGAAACAATTTGATTTTTCAAAATGCCCTTTCAGATAGAGAAAACCACTGCACATTTATTCTATCAAAAATATTTTCATTTCACAGTTCTCAACCAATGGGTGGAGGGTTCGTGTCGCCAGTCTAAGGGGGCCTGCGCATGCGCCAATAATGTGAATTGCCAGACGTCGCTGCCGTCAGCTCAAGGTAATTATCACTTGTGTGTAATGAACAGAGCTGTTACCCGCGAAGAGCACTCGTTACGTTGATAGAATTGCGCGTGCAGTGTACGCCTGTAATTAGACTTTATGCACTGCGTGCGCTGGACAGTTTCTCAGTTCATCGCCTGTAACGGAAAAACACTGGTGAAACTTAATACGAAATGCATACGATCACTTCTTGTTAAAATGTCTGAGAGCCTGACAGGTTTCTGTATTACAGCCACATAAATTCCTGATTCGACGATAAATAACCTAAGCAGTTGAAACAGTGTTGTAGAAGAGCTATCATTTTGTACCTACATAGCGGTCAGAACGCTGGCCTTGTAATCCTGGGGTCTCGGGTTCGATTCCCGGCGGTGCCCGAATTTATAACTTGTGTTGGGCAAGGCCGTGGTCTAGGCAACACAGAGTTTTTTTCCGGGGGCTTCCCCGGTTTCTCCGTGGCATCCCAACAATTACTCCATTCACACACAGAATAAGGCAATGGCAAACCACTTCTGGATCATCTGCCAAGAACGTATATGAACAGGTCCCAGTCCGAGAAAAGGATGGAAGGATCCTGTTCATATGGACCTGTCGTCAGACAGAACACTAAATAATAATAATAATGACTGACTTAATAGCAGTCAGCCAGCCACTTAAGGAGCTGCAGTATCGTGTTCAAAAGCACGTAGTTTGACCCTCTCCCGAAACACCGCAATTCCTGTAAAACTTTCGATCAAAATTCTGCGTGCATTTCTCATCATTTTTGTGCGCACTAAGTATTACGCTTTCTTATCCTCTTTGTTCTGATAATTCTAATTATAAGAATACTAGCATTATGCCCTCAGTGCTACTTGCGGGGAAATTAGACAAATGGCTACATTTCTCGATCTGTTGAAAGCGTTGCATAGGCCTGATCTTATCGTTGAATAGGGCACAATTATTAATAATATTAGATTTATACATAAACCCAACATATTCACTGAGACTCGAACTCAGGACGGTTTTCAGATATGTGACCTTAGTTCCTATAATATCCTCACCGAAACAAACAAGTTTGTTTTTATTTTTGCTAATCTCTTCTATCGGTTTGGGGCCCAGGGCACTTTTTTCGGAGTTCAGCCCATTTTAAAATCTCTTCCGTGGTTTCAAGGAATAAAACACGCGAAGTTTGGTGCAAATTGGTAACCTCTGACGCGCGCGCGCACACACAGAGAGAGAGAGAGAGTAACGTAAGGATGCAGCTGCTACAGTCATATCGCGCGCTGGTTTCGATCCCGCGATTCCAGTTTAACTGCAGTGCTTGATGGAAATATTGGGCCTGGCACCCAGCGGAGTGGCCTGATCGCATTGAACGGCAAGTCTGAACGCCTGCCACGGAAGGATGCAACGTGTAACGCAATGCAAAACAAGAAGATAATTAGTCACGCAAAAATCATGTCAACATCGCTTGGAATTATACCTGCAGTTGAAACATGCAATGCCGAGAAAGTATGCATAAGCGACAAAGCAGACTCTGTTTACCGTATCTTTAGAAAGTTCTGAAGAAATTTGGGCTTAACAAATTTCACAGAGCAGCGTCTTCCATGACAGGGAGACTGTTGCTCAGCTGTCCAAGAAATTTCCCCCGTTTTATAGATCTCGAAGGTTTATTTTATGATCACAAGAGCCCACCACCAGTCCTTGTTTTGAGCCACATAAATATAATCTGCATCCCCAAAGCCGACTGCTGTAAGAAGCATTTTAATATTATCCGCTCACTTACCCCAGTGTGTTCCATCTGGTCTCTTCCCTTCAGACATTCCAACCAAATTTTTTTACCAATTTCTCATCTCCCCGTGAGCGCTACATGTCTAACCCATCTCATCCTCCTTGATCTGATCACTCTAATAATGTTTGACCAAATTTATACATTGTGAAGATTCATCCTCCTTGATCTGATCACTCTAATGTTTGACCAAGTTTATACATTGTGAAGAGCTTCATTGTGCAACTCCAACCTGCCGACACTTCACCGCTCTTGGGTCCAAATACCTCCCACGGGCACCTTTCTGTAATTCTGTCCCATAGTCTGGCAATCTTTAAAATAAATAATATATACATGGAAGTCGTAAAATTTTGACAAGGTAGTTACGTAACTGTCACCACTTAATGCAGGTAGTTAAGAATCTATATGATAATAGAGGGGTTTTATTTTAAAAAAAGAAACATCCAATTAAATAAATTTTGCTCCTTTCGAGTATGACAAAGTGTCAAAATAGTTATTTTTTTCTGAATTAAATCGGAATGAAAACACGTCACATGTTCCAATTCGTGAAAATAGGAAATCTATCCTACAGAAACGTTGGAAAATAAGCGTTAGTATCCGCTTCAAAATTCGTGTTCAGGTACTCGAAGCTCCGATAATTTGTTCTGGTGTTCGATCCTGGGAGCAACTGAATGCGTGTCCGATCTATTGCTTGATAGGATAACTTGTTTCGTTAAAGCATGTCATATCATGTCATGTTGTAGCGTGTCATATTCCTGCGTCACGTGAATTATGTGAACATTCAAAGTAGCTTAAGCACTGAAGTACTTGTCATGATTCCTTCCAAACATGGCAATACTGGGGTTACAAACGAGAAATACTCAATATTATAGCAGTGTAAATAAATACTGACTCTACATGGCAGAGAATAAGCCTATTTTGACGTGAGTTTGGGTCATTGTCTCCTTCTTTAAATGTCAATTCATTTGTGAGACATGTTAACAGGATTTTAATAAAGTAGGATGAATCAGATTCCCAGGCTTTCAAACTTTTAAGTAGACTGAAAACTTGTACTTTTTAAATATCTAAGAAAGCTTAATTCCTTCACAGAACTACTGAATATGGAGGTAGCATGTTCCTCCAAAATTTTGGTGTACAATACGGCGCAAGAATTGAGAGGATGCAGATTACTTTTCTAATATGGTAGAAGTTAATCGACGTTTCAGAGGTGCTTACTGCATCCATCAACTCTTCGCCCCTATGTTGGAGGCAGCAAGCATGGCATATCAAACCATCATCGTAGCCGTGAGAACCTGAAATCTCGCTAAGCCAGAAGATAATCTAAACTCACACCGCCGAGACAATTGCAAATCCTGCTAAATGGGACCTTATCAAACAAGATAACAGGTGTTTATCGTTAGGTTAAGCCATTTAAGGATATTTAACAACTCTGTTCCTGTCTGCCAGACGACAGTTTCTTAGCTACAGAATCAGTCAGTTAATGTTAAGAGAAACAATTCTTGTTCGCTGCGAGAACGGTAAGACAAATGTTAATGTATTAAGCGGGCAAAATGTCTGGGCCCTGATTTTTAGATCAAGTGGTACATAAACCAAGAGCTACACATTACCACTACTTTGTTACTAGAATCATATTATCTAGTTCACTTATTATAAATTTCACTGAGGAAAGATTCAAAAGAACAATATACCTATTATATGTACACCTTGTACATATGTAGATAATTCAAAGAATGCACCACACTTGTAATGTGTTTTGTTTTCATTATTTAGTGACGTCGTGCGGGGTACAAATTTTATATGCATCGAATGACAAAGTGACAGGATGTCGGACGAAGCAATCATTGCCTGTTTCCTAATTGTTTCACAACAATTCTCAGTTAGGAACATTACATTTTGACATTCCACCACACGCACTACATTAGCTCAAGCCATTTCTCCCGTTATGACTGTCAAACGCATAATTCTTCCCGCTGACACGTTGGCAGGTACTGGACATGTTCTATTCTTGAGCCCCATCGATGCAGAGAGTTGCTTCAAACATTCAGGATGTCTGAAGTGAGCAACTTATGACTTAAACATAGGCTTTCAATCCCCGTGTATCTCTCAGAGTGGCGTAACATGCAGGGAGGCTCAAATACTCTTGTTAACGTCAGGATACCAAAACATCGTGTTACCTGGCAACCCACTTAAAACACGACAAGCTGCCTCTTTTAATAAAGATGCAATCTGCGGTAATGGTGCCTATATTGTATGAATCAGATTATTAGAAGATACCATTAGAATTGGAATAATGTGAGCTGGGAACGTTCAATTTTACAAACTTGTATATGCCCGCTTCTCGATTAACCTCCATTTCACGTCAAACACAGTTATTTAAAATGTAACTGAGTAGTACTTCAAATAATTTGAATTTTAGATATTAAATTTGACACAACTTGTAACTGAGTAGTACTTCAAATAATTTAAATTTTAGATATTAAATTTGACATAACGGGAAGGAAAGGTGCATAATGCAGCAGCCCGCAGCATTTAAAAGAGTCGCCGATAAAACCAAAGACTACAGGTCTAAAATCACTAAACATGTCTGCAATTCATCATTGATGATGGAGGCAGCAAGGACATTGGTAAACTTCTACCAGGCTACATGGCACAACAAGCCAGAAGACTCATCTTCAGACTCACTTCCGTGGAAACCTCAAATCCTACATAGATTTGGTTCATTTATTAGTTCGCTTATTTTAGTTCCAAATTGAGTTACCATTAAAAGCATGATGCAAATTAATTAGGCTATGCATAACTAATGCATTATGGTGACGTCAACAACCGAAGGTCCTTTACCGCGTTCACAAGGGCTCACTTGTGACCCATATGCTCTAGCAAAGATACAAGGCAATAGATTTATTTCTTTTCATTGTCCTCATTTCATTACATAAGTATCTTGTGTCTCGTATGTATATTATTGTATATTTATTTACGAATTTGTTATTCCGTCATTATGAACATGTTCTAGTTTTATTTTTCAATTGTGTGATTATCAGCTAAGACCGGGTATGTTAAAAGGCAATCCCAGATAAACAAATATTTAAAGCTAAACAGTGTACTTTCCATGGGAAAAAATAGCCCAAACAAAACTGTTTATCAAAACAAATATTACCACACGCCTGCCATACATAATAGCCTCGTTTTAATTCCTGTGACACCATTTGCAAGCTTAACTACTGCGTTTCAGAACTAAA